GGAGACTAACTGAAAATTTGCTGGTTTCTGTCCACCGAGCCAAGAAAAATTGACACTCAGCTACCAGCTATAGCGGTGTGGATTTACAGGCTTTTGGCAGGAGGTTTGAATTAATTGGAAGCCTTGCAGATGTGTATAATTTAGGACATCATCATTTAGGAACATTTATGGCCTCTGTAACTGGAACACACATAGGATGCAATAGTTCACTCCGATCGAAGCAAACTGAATGGTCCTGATTTAAAAAGCTCAAAGTATAATCAAAGTATAACACTAAGTTACAACGATAACAGTGAAATTATTTCAAAATTGCCAGTAATGCAGCAAATAAAGCATGCAGGAGAACAGAACTGCAAAATACAACTAGATTTTGAGATATTTATTTTTCTAACCAACAAATATCTGAAAAGTGTGACATATGTAAGGGTCCATAAAACCAAAGACTAAGAACCAATAGGGGCAGTGTTTTCACAGGGAAGACTAGTAGAAATGATTTGAATAAATAATCAATTTTGAGAGATACTTTCAAAAGAGATGTAATGAAAGCAATGTTGGGAAAAATGTTTAGATCGTAAAGAGTCTTTAAAGGTGATAAAACAACCTTTTCTAGTACTTAGGAGAGAAAAAGCAGCATAGAAATTGGCTTTAAGTTCAAGATCCAAGTTTCTTCTTTCAAGAATAGGTTGTACCACCACATCATGTTTAAAAGAAACTGGGACACAACCTTAAGAAAGGGAGGAGTTCACCAACTTAAAGGTCCTTAAAGGCAGACCCTTAGCAAAAATATAAACAGGATGCCCAACCAGAGGAGATTTTGAGGGGGAAAAAAAGGTAAGTTCTCCTTTGAAACTTTTTAAAACACTTAATCTCTGAATATCCCCTTTACGCACTTATGGTCCCATATCAGTCGGTTTTTTTATCCCCTTGGTGGTGTGGAACATTTCTGTTATCCCAGTACATGCCAGGGTTAATATTAAACTATGTTTTTAAATCAATTGATGGACTTAAACCCTCTTATTTATGTGAATTGCTCGTTGCACATCAGCCCAGTAGAGCGTTGCGGTCTGCAGGACAACCCCTGCTGGAGATCCCATGACCAAAAGTAAGCAGCAAGGTTATTGTTCTTTTTCAGTTGCTGGTCCTCGGATCTGGAACATTCCCCCTTCTGAGTTACGAGCCATCACTGACCCAACACTGATTAAAGTTGGGTTGAAAACATAGCTGTTTAGATCTGTTTTTCAACTGCTGGGTGCATATATAAAATGTATACATTTTTTATTTATTGTGTTGAAACTGTTTTTATTGCACTTGTGGAAAGCACTTTGATTCAGCAGGGGCTGTAAAGCACTACATAAGTAAAGCTTGATTGATTGATTGATTGATTGATTGATTGATTGATTGATTGATTGATTGGTTGATTGATTGATTGATTGATTGATTGATTGATTGATTGATTGATTGATTGATTGATTGATTGATTGATTGA